TCAACAGTGGAGGCCAAATTTCGACCCAAGAATTGGTAAGGTGGAGAAGCTTCTAGCGTGGATTCGATTTCTATCACTTCCGATATAATATTTCGATGAGGATTTCCTCAAGAAGATTGGTATGAGTATTGGCCGCCCTATCAAGATTGACAACACTACCAGTCTTGCCTCCAAGGGCAACTTCGCTAGAGTTTGCGTTGAAATCGATATTGCGAAGCCCCTACCATCAAGATTTGTCCTAAATGAGGTTGAGTGGCCCGTAGAGTATGAAGGAATCCACTTTGTGTGTTTCAAGTGCGGAGTTTATGGTCACAGGCAGGAGCAGTGCGGTGAGAACGAAAGGAGGGAGGAAACCAATCAGCCGGGCCCCTCGGATTTGCCTGCAAAAGCCAGCTCAATGCCGCCGGAGAAGTATGGTAGGTGGATGCTTGTTACACGAAGGGACAGACGCAACAATGGTAGGAATCCAAACCGTCCAGTGAATGCCCCTCCTAAGGGTAACCACCAGACTCCTCCCAGAAATGATGGGCAAATAGACAGAGGGATCGCAACGCAATCTAAGATTGCAACTTTAGATGGGCTTGAGGATGAATTGGGCACCCAGAGACAGAATTCCCACCCTGCGCCAGTAGATTTCCAACAACCCAATGCAACACTCCCACCGATTCGCACCAATTACCGTAACAGACGTCCACAAAAGGAGCCAGCAAGTGTAGAGGAAGGCCAGGAATCTGTCCAACAGCTTGATTCCCAGCGGCAAAGGCAATCGGATATGCGTGGAGGATTTCGTGAACGAGGTGGAAGGGGAGGCGATCCCAACAGAGCAGCGGCGAAACTAGAACATACCATTGTTCATGGTTCTGATAGAGGGCGTAACATCTCGACTACGGTGGTTTACCAGAATGAGGAGTGCGGAAACCATGCTTCTCTGGAAGATTTGGAGAAGGACTATAGACATGAACCTCCAGATCCCATGTATGGCTTGGAAAAAGACTATAGACATGAACCCCAGACCCTTTGATTGGATTGGACGTAGACATGGCAATTCGTGTATACGGGTCCGTTAACGGGTCGACACGATAACGACACGAACACGATAAGGCTAAACACGGACACAACACGTTATGGTTAACGGGTTCAAATTTTTAAAATGAACACGAACACGGTTTGTTAACGGGTTAAACGGGTTGACACGATAGACACGTTTTGTTAACAGGTTTCAAGTCGTGTCGACACGAAACCCGTTTAAACCCGCTATTTCTATTAATATATTAAAAAAAAAAACTAAAATTTAAAGTTAAGTTATATATTAAAAAATCCTACAATTAAATCCATCAAACAAACTAAAAAATATTCAATTCATAACATTCATAGAATGATAAAATAACATCCAAAAAGCATAATTAAAAGAGAATATACTAGTTTTTAGAATACAATTGAACACACAAAAAAATTCAAATTTCAAATTGTTAAGCATCAACAATTGGTGTAGGATCTTGACCTAATGTAGTAAATTCATCCTTAGTCATGTTCATAATATCTTTTGTAACCTCATTCATTACAATGGTTGTTACCTAAATGACAATGGTTCTTAGCGGGTTATAAACAGGTTGTGTAAACGGGTTCGTGTTAACGGGTTAACACGATAATATTAACGGGTTAAACGGGTTCTTAATAAGTTTAACAGGTTGACCCGTTAAAACACGAAACATAACGGGTTCTTAACGGGTCAACCTGTTAACGACCTGGGATACGTTAAGGCTAAACACTAACCCGTTAATTTCGTGTCCAATTTCATGTCCATAATTGCCAGGTCTACCTTGGAGCGTGATCTAAGGCACGAGCAGACATGCCATAGTAGTGAGTATAGAACTTTCGGGGAACCCCCAGATGAGACCATGCAGGAAGTGCCTGAGGATGTTGTTCAGAGTGACCACGATGCCGTAGCCCGGCAGCGCCAAAGCGCGCCTGCTGCTCCAGCCGGTATCCAATGATTTTTCTCATTTGGAATTGTCAGGGTGTTGCCTCTAACTCATTTAGGCGCACCCTGAAACATCTGTTGTGTTTACATAATCCTTCTGTTGTTTGTTTATTAGAACCCAAAGTTTCGGGTGCTCATGCTAACAAAATTTGTTCAAGTTTTGGCTTTGATGAGTGGCTCAGGGTTGAAGCGGTAAGCTTCTCAAGTGGAATTTGGCTCCTATGGAGAAAGTCAATAAACATTAGTATCATTAGCACGCACCCCCAGTTCATCTCAATGCAGCTTGCAGACAACGATGCGAAACCTTGGTACATATCTATGGTCTATGGGAGTCCGAGCCAACAGTTAAGGAGGAGACTCTTTTATGATCTTTCTGGGAACTCATTTGAGCCCCAAGGACCTTGGATTGCAGTGGGGGATTTCAATTCTGTCACATGCGGGAAGAGGTTAGCAATGCGAAGAGTTTCGATCGTTCTAGATGCTCCGATTTCAATGACTGGATCTTTAAGGAAGGGTTGGTGGATCTAGGATTCAAGGGCTCGCAGTTTACGTGGAGGAGGGGCAACAGTTTTGACTCCTTCAAAGGTGCCCGCTTGGATAGAGCCCTCTACAATGTTAATTGGAAGCTTCAATACCCCGATGCCAATGTGCAGCATCTTCCCATAATTGGATCAGATCATATTCCCTTGTTGGTGGATATTGGAACTAAGCACAAGGGAGGTAATTTGAAGCATTTCAGGTTCAACCTTGCATGGGCAACACACACCACGTTTCAAGCTATGGTGGATTCAAATTGGAAAAATGATTGTGACTTAGAGTTAAATAAAAAAATGGTGGCTGATGCTCTATCTAGTTGGAATAGAGACACCTTTGGTAACATCTTCCAAAGGAAAAAGAGGCTCATAGTAAGGATTGAGGGGGTCCAGCGTAAGATTAGTCAGAATCCGAGAGCTGACCTGATCAAATTGGATAAGAAGCTACGTTTGGAATTGGATGAAACCCTTTACCAGGAGGAACTAATCTGGTTCCAACGCTCAAGAGAGGATTGGGTAACGTCGGGGGAAAGAAACACAAGGTTTTACCATACAGCAACCTCGATTAGAAGCAATCATGCAAAAATTAATAGCTTGATAGACGAAGAGGGACAACTCATTACGGAGGATAGCGGTCTAACTGAACACATCCGCAGCTATTTTGCTAGTCTCTTCTCGAAAGAAGAAGGGACGAGCATCCAGCGTTTGCCCCACGGCCATTTTCCACCACTAAGTGATGCAGACTGGCTTGGTGTTATGAGAACTCTCACTCTGGATGAAGTCAAAAAGAACTTGTTCGCAATGGCGCCATGTAAAGCTCCAGGTCCAGATGGATACTCGGCTAGTTTTTATCAGAAAGCATGGGGAGTAATGGGCGAAAGCCTACTTAATTTCATTAAAAATTTTTTTGAGGAAGGGGTACTACCGGCAAACTGCAAAGACACTTTGCTATCACTTATACCAAAGGTTCCTAGCCCGAGTAGTGTCAAGCAATTATGTCCAATAAGTCTCTGCAATGTCTCATACAAGCTAATAACGAAGATTATGACATCCAGGTTAAAGAATATTTCGAGGAAGTTGGTTGGTCCTCACCAAACCAGTTGTGTCCCAGGCAGACAGATCTCAGATAACATCCTTATATATCAAGAGGTGCTCAATTTTATGAGGAATAAGAAAGGCAAAGGAGGATGGATGATCACGAAGATTGATTTGGAAAAAGCCTATGATAGGCTGTCTTGGGACTTTATTGACGATACTTTAAAAGATATTGGGCTCAGCAGCGTTTGGAGGAGAAATATTATGGAGTGCATTTCATCCTCAAGGATGGCAGTCCTATGGAATGGTCAGAGAACTGAGTGGTTTAAACCAGGGAGGGGAATTCGTCAGGGAGATTCTATTTCACCTCTAATTTTTATATTATGCATGGAAAGGCTAGGCCATATAATCCAATCTGCTGTTAGTAACGGACGATGGAAAGGAATAAAACTAGCTAGACAAGGGCCTTACATTTCCCACCTTTTTTTTTGGTAGATGACTTTGTGTTGTTTGGCGAGGCAACGGAGCAGCAAGCAATGGAGATGAACCAATGCCTCGAGCTGTTCTGTTCCTATTTTGGACAGAAGATCAGTTTGCAGAAGTCTGAGCTATTTTTCTCAAAGAATACAGAGGTCGGCTTGCAGCAAAGGATAACAGCTGTTACTGAACTTCCAATAGTCACAAATATGGGCAGATATCTGGGCGTTCCCTCGATTCATGGCAGGCTTAAAAATGACTCGTTTGCCAGTATACTAGAAAGAGTCCAGTCTCGCCTAGCTGGATGGAAATCCAAATCACTATCTATGGCAGGTAGAATTACCCTGGTACAATCCATGCTCACCTCAATCCCCTTCTACACCATGCAAATGACTTTGGTACCTGCAGGAGTGGTATCATCCATCGAGAAACTCATAAGGGGTTTCTTGTGGGGGTAGCAAGGATGGCGAGAGAAGATGCCATCTTGTCAGCTGGGATGTTATAACCAAAAGCAATGCATGCGGGGGACTGGGTATCTGCAAATTAGAGCAAATGAACTTAGCCTTTCTAGCCAAACTAGGGTGGAGGCTTATGCAGGACGATGAAAGCTTATGGGCAAGGATTTTCAGAGCCAAATACGCGATTGCAGGTGTTGAGTGTTCAAAGTGGAAATAGAAGAGCAACCAATCCAATGCATGGAGAGGAATACGTAAAGCGGTACCCATTCTTCAAAAAGGCAGCATTAAGCAAGTCAGAAATGGTAGAAATACCTCATTTTGGACTGATAGGTGGGTATGTGATAGGCCTATGTTGGAACTAACGATTGGTAATGTTCCTACCAACGAGCTAAGCAGAAATGTTGCAAGTTACTGGAATGGGGAAACAGGTTGGCTATGGAACCAGTTTGACCATTTACTCCCTGCCGAGACTCTAGGCAGATTGGCCGCCATCATGCTGAATGAGGACCAAGAGGCACACGACACTCTCTGCTGGAGTAAGGCTGGAGTAAGGAAGCTTCAGGCTCCTTCTCTGTAAACTCTGCGAATAGGGGAAGTTGAGCAGATCGAGGCATCTAAGTGGAACAACATCTGGAAACTGAAAGTACCAAACCGCATTCGTACGTTCATGTGGCTTGTTGCTCATGGTAGGATCATGACGAATAGTGCCAGAGTTAAGAGATGGATTTCTTTGGCTGACAGATGTTGGTGCTGCATGAATGCCGTGGAGGATGTTGAACATGTACTGAGATCTCGTCTTGAATCAGAGGCCGTCTGGAGATCAGTATTCCCACCTTCGTCTTACATAAATTGTTCCACCTTACCGTTTGGGAGGTGGCTCGAGAAAGGGCTAACTGACAAAGGGAATGACCGTCATCCCTATGACAGTAATACTCTTTTTGCATTAACGGCATGGTGGATATGGAAGTGGAGGAATGAAGCGGTCTTCAATAACTCGAGGAAGCCAGTGAATATAAAATCCATGTGGATTAGATCATAATTTGATGAAATTTGCAGAGCTTTTGGAAGGGCTAAATGACTCCCCCCTCAAGGCGACCGTTCCTGCTGGAAGCAGCTGTGCTGGGCAACTCCTCCACATGAGTTTGTTAAAGTGAATGTGGATGGTGCTGTCAATCCGGCCACGGACAAAGCTAACTGCGGAGGTTCTATTAGAGATTCCTCTGGGGAGTGGAAGATGGGCTTCGTCTACAGAATTGGCTACTGTTCTCCCTTTGAAGCGAAAACTTGGGCACTTCTGAAATGCATCCAACTAGTGATATCAATGGGTTTAAGCAAGGCTGTGTTTGAAAGCGATGCTGAGGAAGTTGTTAAGTACATGAACAACAATAGTAGACCAAGGATTGCAGCACATAATGTCCTGGAAGCATGCAGAAGAGAGCTACGTAATCTTGAAGTGTGGCAGGTCGAGCCAGTTGTTCGCGAGCAAAATCAGGTAGCAGATGCTTTAGCAAAATCTGCTACAAGATATCCCATTGGCCTACATGTCCTCCGTGAGCCTCTTTATGAAATTCTAGGTTTGCTTGAAGATGACATATCTGGTGTTCCTAGATGGCGTGAGTGCCGCAACACAGACTATCTGTTGTAGTTCGTTTTTTGGGTTGCCCCCTTCCAACTTTATATATATATAAAATATATCTTCAATATAAAAATCTTTTATATATTGCACCATAATATTATAGCCGTGCATCGCACGGGCCAACTACTAGTAAAAGGAAATATGGAGTAATATAAAGGCCAACTTTCTCAATTTTCAACTGTTCCAACCGATCTTGTCTTCCTCATCCCTGCAAGAACTGAACCTAAAACCTCCAATTCTCTCCCACCCTTCTCTCTCTAGACGAGTACATCAATCTTCTATTCATAATATAGCTGTAGATATTAGGAACCCTTAATAATCACTGTGAATCAACATGGAGGACAAAGACACAGAGCTCCTCTGTAAAGTCATTGCAAACCACGTGTTCTTGGCTCAATTCGAACCTTTCCTAGCCACACTGCGTACAGTAGTGTGATCTCTATGGCTTCTATTTGGTGTATGTTAACAGGATTTATTGTAATCGAGAATGGGTTGTCTTTTATTTGTACGCCAATTATTAAAAGAAATAGTTATTCTAAATATCATGAAATTCAATTCCTTTTTATCCCAGTACACCAAAAGAATGCCATTAGGGTGGAATGGGGCTAGATTTTTGAGGAAAATATTTTGGGGTATCACATTTATACCACACAGCAATTGAACAATAGATAAAATAAAAAGCAAGATGACACCAAGAGTTAACATGGTTGAATTCACGGGGCACCAGCCCAAATCAAAATCAAGAATTAATGATTGTTTTGGTCCATCGACTATGACATAATTATCAAATTGGTCATCAACTATCAATTTTGACCAATTAAATCCTCAATTATTAATTTCGTAATCGATTTGGTCCTTCGTCAAGCTGATCGACAACCAATTTGGTATATATATTATGACATACACCACACATGTGCATTGTTTTTTTTAGTTAGCCGCCTAGGCCATCTAGGCGCTACTTTACCGTCCGACTAGCGCCAAACACCTACTGCAACTATGCTCATAAGCAATAAAATCTATATTCCTCAATTAAATAAGCAAACTGTAAAAATTGGCGCACATTAAGAAGGAAAACCACTCACCTAAAGCTTTAGACCGGCACACCTTAAGTTTCAACAACTGACGCACCTTAAACACATAAACCACACACATTAAGAAGGAAAATCACGCACCTAAAGCTATCCTGAATTGGACTACTCTATTAGATTGTAGTATCTGCACAAAGAGTCAACTGTTCAAACATACTTTCTCAACCTAATGAAGCACAAAGAGTCAACAACGCCTCCACTGTGGCTCGATCTCATTCTCAATCTAATGAAGCAAACCCTAATGAAGCACAAAGAGTCAACAACGCCTCCACTGAATCTAATGAAGCACAAGCAAACATACTTTCTCAACCTAATGAAGCACAAGCAAACATACATTCTCAACCTAATGAAGCACAAGCAAACATACTTTCTCAACCTAATGAAGCATGAAGCACAAGCAAACATACTTTCTCAACCTAATGAAGCACAAGCAAACATACTTTCTCAACCTAATGAAGCACAAAGAAATCAAGCACAAAGAGTCAACAACGCCTCCACTGAAGCTGATAAGCGTAGTTTCTAGGCATTATTTAGAGTAATTTTAGTGAGTGATTTGCATAAATAAATTAAGTTTTAGGGTTGGTCTTATTATAAATATTATATTTATTTATTTGTTACTAGTTTAGATTGGTTTTAATAAATATTAGAATAATGTTGCATTTTTATTAATATAAATAGTATTTTATTACTATGTTTTATTAGGATATGTCATTAAGTTATAATTATTTTATTTTAACTTAATTTTGTTTTGTTTTTTACTTAGGGACTTGCGCAGCAGTAAAGGAAAAAGAGGGAATTAGGTTAAAGGGGGGTTTGTTTCTTTCACGGCAGTAGAAGTAAAAAAGGGAAAAACAACCCTTTTAAATGGTTTTTTTGTTTGTGGAGTCGGCAGAGGAAGGACGAGACGGAAAGGAGTGAACAAAACGGAAGCCTAGGAGCAGCAGTAGTGTGGTCGGCGAGGAGTTTCCAGCGAGGAAGCAAAGGATTATTCAAGATTCCATCGCCAGAATTCTTGAGCTTCAATCGCGGCTACCTTCTTCTTAGGCTTGAATTACTTTCTTTCATCTCTATTTTTATTCTTGTTCAAATTTCCAGAATGTTATTTATTGAACTTTCCTTACCTTTAATTATGATTATTAGCTAAAACTTTAATTAGGGATTTGGATTAGCCTATATTAGATTGATTGACTATTTTTTATGTGTTGATTCTTCCAATTTCAATTCAATAATTGAACTTGATTATATTTATTTTATGTATTTTAATTGTGGATTGTGTGACTGGCCATTGCATAAGTCTAATATTAGGGTTCATAAGAACAACTGACAGGTGAATTATGAACCTAGAACTCATAAGATAAACACAATTGACCTAAACTAGACATAGCTTTAGGTATTTGTGGTGAGATTTGATTGTTGCTTAATGGGTTCAATTAATGTTGGTGAGATATCGACGGATGATCACAGTTAATTGGATACAACCTAGTAGCTCGACGGAGTATTAGGATATAATTGGAGCAATCATCACTATAATTACAAGAATTAATATTTAGGAGAGTTAGTTAATTATCTAATAGGTGAACCCAAATCCCTAGTCTTCTCTTAATTGGAATTTTTCTTAACTTTAGATTCATAATTATTCTTTTTAATTACATTAATACTATTTGTTTGCATTTTTCCTTATCATCAAAATTGATTATTCAAGATAACAGTTAATAGTGTTCTTCGTGGGATCGACCCTGGAATACTCCAGGAATTTATACTGTGATTGACTCTGTGCGCTTGCAGATTATAGCAATCAAGTTTTTGGCGCCGTTGCCGGGGAACACTTTATTAAATTGTTTTCTTTAAGTTTTTTTTTTCAAATTTATTTTAGTTGTTAGGTTCGTTATTATTTTATTTTTATTTTTATTTAATTTTTGTTTTTCTGTTTTTATTTTGTTTTGTTTATGAACTTAAGGCGATCACTGAGGCATAAAAATATTGAATTATTCCCTATTGATTTTGAAATTGAGCGTACTTGCAGAAAAAAAAAGGGTACGAAGGCGACTTGAAATGGCTGAGAACAATAGAGTGGGTCAACTGGATGACCCCGTACCACCAATAGTTCCACCTCCTCAAAATCAAGCAGCTCAACCACGTCTTCGAGACATCCAAAGACTGGTAATAGCTATTAACCCTTCTTGCATTCAATTATCTGATGCAACTAGGAATTATGAACTCAAGACTTTCCATCTGAATATGCTCCCTACCTTTAACGTTTTGGGAAGTGAAGATGCTTTGGGTTTCATGCGAGAGCTCTATAGTACGGTACAAACTTTACCATTAAATAATTTATCTGAAGAAGAGCTTAGAATGAAATGTTTTCCATATTGCATGAGGGGTGATGCTAGGCAGTGGTTGTTAAATTTACCAGAGGGTTCTTTAAGAACTTGGGATGATGTTTACAATGCTTTCATGTTTAAATATTATTCATCTCAAAAGACAATGGACTATAGGAGTAGAATATGCACTTTTACTCAAAGAGAGGGTGAATTGTTTCATGAGGCATGGGATCGTTTTAAATTGCTTTTGACCCAATGTCCACACCATCAATTCCCATTGTTATTGTTGACACAATTCTTTTATGATGGTTTAACTCCTAATTGTCAGTCTCTTGTAGATACTGCTGCAGGTGGATACACAGGCGATAAAAATAGTGATGAATTAGAAACTATCTATGAGAACTTAGCTAGTAATTCTCGACAAAAGGCAGTGAGAGGTCGAAGAACTGCTGTGCATGAAATTAGCACACAATCTGAGTTGACAACACAAGTGGCTGAATTGACTAAACAGATGAACTTATTGATGACTCGTGATAGTTCGAATAGAGAATTTTGTTCTTATTGCAATACATATGGTCATAATTCTTCTGTTTGTATGAATGCAGAGTCCTCACAACCATCTTATGAAGAAGTTAATTACATGGGATCCAATATGGGTAGGCAACAACCTAGGAGTGATCCATTTTCTAATACATATAATCCAGGTTGGCGGAATCACCCTAACTTCTCATGGAGAGATCAAGGTAATGCAAGACCAATGGGACCACCTGGATTCCAGCAACGGGGACCATCAAGATTCCAACATTAGCAATACAGACCTTTCCAGCAGCCACATGCGCCACAACAGTCTCAACTTCCTGCTCAGGAGAAAAAGCCTCAATTGGAGGAGATGTTTATGCAATACATGGCTAGCCAGGACACGATGATGAAAAAAATGGATGCAAAAATTGATAAGTTTGCTCAATCCTGCCAAGCATCAATTCATAATTTAGATGTGCAAGTAGGTCAGTTGGCTAAATTGGTTGCAAAAAAAGATCGAGGTTAGTTTCCTAGTACCACTGAAATAAACCCTAGGGAAGGAGCTATGGCTGTCACCTTGAGAAGTGGTAAGATATTGAATGAAATTATGAAAGAAAATGAACCCATGAGTGTTGAAAAAGAGAGTGATAAAGAAGAAGAGGAGCAAGTGCCTAAAGAGAATTCTAGTGATCAAAACCTCACTTTCTCTACAGTAAAACCTTATGTACCCCCCATTCCATATCCACAAAGGTTACAAAAGAGGAACCAGGACAATAACTTTCAAAGATTTTTAGAGATTTTTAAAAAATTGCGAATTAATATTCCTTTTGCAGAAGCACTTGCTAATATGCCGTCTTATGCCAAGTACATTAAGGAAATTGTGTCTAATAAAAAGAAACTGGAAGAGTTTGCTACTGTGCATCTAAATGAAGAGTGTAGTGCTATTTTGCAAAGCAAATTACCTCCTAAGTTAATGGATCCAGGAAGTTTTTCTATTCCTTGCACTATTGGTAATACTGTCATTGATAAATGCTTATGTGATCTAGGTGCCAGTATTAACCTTATGCCTTTAACTCTTTTTAAGAAGTTGGAAATAGCTGAAATGAAGCCAACAACAATCTCTCTTCAACTTGCTGATAGATCAATCAAATACCCGCTTGGAGTAGTGGAGGATATCTTGATAAAAGTTGGTAAATTTTATTTTCCTGCTGATTTTCTGATTCTTGATATGGGTAGTGACACAGATACATCTCTTATACTTGGTAGACCATTTTTGTTGACAGGAGGAGTATTAATTGATATGCCTTTAGGGAAATTGATTTTTAGAGTAGGTAAAGAAAAAGAGGAATTCTCTATCTCTAAGGCTGTAAAATTACCAACTTTTGATGAATCATGTCTTTTTGTTGATGTTATTGAGAAACCTTTAGAAGAATAATTTGTTAAGCATTCACCTAGTGAAACACCACATCAACTTGAACTTAAACCACCATCATTGCGGTTCAAATACGAATTTTTGAGTAACAATGATACTTTTCTTATGTTTTCTTATGCTCATTTACTTCATGCAAAAAAAGAGAGATTGTGGAGAACATTGACTAAAGCTTGGCATGACAGAAATAATTTTTGGAGAGAATTCAATGTAGGGCAAGAAGTTTTGTTGTCTAATTCTTGTCTTAAGTTTTTTCTAGAGAAATTGAAGTCTAGATGGTTTGGTCATTTCATGGTCACTAAAGTTTGTTCGTATGAGGCCATAGAGATTGAAAGAGAGAAAAAGAGACCATTCATGGTTGCTTCACCAAAAGGCAGCCCCGGAAGAAACTGACAACTAACAGGGAAGTTTCCTGTTTATTTCATTTTCTCATACTTGCTTTTATATTTAACATTGAGGACAATGTTGAGTTTGAGTGTGGGGAAGGGAAAGTAAGATTAGGGGATGTTTTCTGCAAGTTTTATGCAAAATAGGCAATATCAAAAAAAAAGTTCTGCATTTTATGCATTTTTCTAGATTTTTAGCATCTTTTCCTTCATTTTTCTGCAATTTCTTAGCAAATAAAGTTTTAAAAAATGCCATCTAATGACTATGTTGATTGGGAGATAAGTTCTAGTGTTTTGGGAGTGCATAATATCAATGAATGTGTTTGGCTATATGTATGCTTGCATAGAGTTGGTAGTCAAATTCTGTCACACCGTGAGCTGTTGAGCCTAGAGGTTGCCCACTGCAACTTATTTTCATTTTGAGTGTTTATGTGCCCTCTTTGATTGTGTTACTTCTAGAACTTGCTTCATACCATTTCAGAGCTACATGTTATATGTTGACACGAGAATGATTCAGGCATTAGGATTTAGCCTTATGGCCTTAAAAATGACCACATCCTTATACATGTTATTTTTCCCCTAGTGAACCATTTTTGAGCATTAAAAGAAATATAAGACATTTTTCTTCATTAGCCAGTTCCAAAGAACCTTAACTCATAAAAATAAGCCTCTTAACCCGTCCTTGAGTCAGTGGATGTCATTATTTCATTTATCTGTGCAAGATGACCAAAAGTGATGAAGTATGGGTGAGATTGGAGTTGAAAGGTGATTCTACAACTGAGTTGCTTTGGATGAGGAATTGGTTGTGATCAAAGGGGTGAAAAAAAAAAAGAAAAAAAATAACAAAATGATATGTTCTAGTTTGTGGGTTGGAAAATCTTTGAATGCCCAAACTTTTGTTCTCATTTTATTCTTAAAATGATTTTGTGAGCAATGAAGGCATGGTAGAAATTTGGTGATTATGGGAAGAGTACCATTGAGGGTTGTGTGAAATGAGGAGTAATCTATTCGGTTTTACTAGAAAAAAAAAAAGAAAAAAAAAAAGAAACAGGAAAAAAATGGAAAATGAGATTTTGAAGTTGTTTTGGGAGTTTATCAGCGAAAAGGATGAGGAAGAATGAAGAAACGATGGTTTGTTTTGGTAGAGTTCATTGTATTGGTTTACAAGTTCTTGCTCTTGATATGGTGAAATTATGGCTCTACTGATTCCTTGGACTTTATTTGTATTTCCTTATATCCTTTCTTTCTTAAACCACATACCCTTGGCCCCATTACAACCCATAAATAAAGACCTTTTGACTCGTGTTTTCCATATAATTTGGGTAGTGGAGTTTTGGTGGAAAAGCAAGCCTATGGCAAGTGCACTCTCAATAGGGGATGGTGTGTACCTTTCTTATACATGTTTATATGAGAGATTGAGTGAACAACCGTGAGGACTACTATTCTCTATTATCTTGTGTGCATATGACTTTGAACTCTCATGAAGTATTATGTGTTTACCAATTCCCTTGAATTGAATGCCTAGTTGACATGGCTATGGTTGGTAGTTTGATTTCATTGCATAAGTTTGCTTGGGGACAAGCAAAACCTTGAGTGTGGGGAAATTTGATAAGCGTAGTTTCTAGGCATTATTTAGAGTAATTTTAGTGAGTGATTTGCATAAATAAATTAAGTTTTAGGGTTGGTCTTATTATAAATATTATATTTATTTATTTGTTACTAGTTTAGATTGGTTTTAATAAATATTAGAATAATGTTGCATTTTTATTAATATAAATAGTATGTTATTACCATGTTTTATTAGGATGTGTCATTAAGTTATAATTAGTTTATTTTAACTTAATTTTGTTTTGTTTTTTATTTAGGGACTTGCGCAGCAGTAAAGGAAAAAGAGGGAATTAGGTTAAAGGGGGGTTTGTTTCTTTCACGGCAGTAGAAGTAAAAAAAGGGAAAAACAACCCTTTTAAATGGTTTTTTTGTTTGTGGAGTCGGCAGAGGAAGGACGAGACGGAAAGGAGTGAATAAAACGGAAGCCTGGGAGCAGCAGTAGTGTGGTCGGCGAGGAGTTTCCAGCGAGGAAGCAAAGGATTATTCAAGATTCCATCGCCAGAATTCTTGAGCTTCAATCGCGGCTACCTTCTTCTTAGGCTTGAATTACTTTCTTTCATCTCTATTTTTATTCTTGTTCAAATTTCCAGAATGTTATTTATTGAACTTTCCTTACCTTTAGTTATGATTATTAGCTAAAACTTTAATTAGTGATTTGGATTAGCCTATATTAGATTGATTGACTATTTTTTATGTGTTGATTCTTCCAATTTCAATTCAATAATTGAACTTGATTATATTTATTTTATGTATTTTAATTGTGGATTGTGTGACTGGCCATTGCATAAGTCTAATATTAGGGTTCATAAGAACAACTGACAGGTGAATTATGAACCTAGAACTCATAAGATAAACACAATTGACCTAAACTAGACATAGCTTTAGGTATTTGTGGTGAGATTTGATTGTTGCTTAATGGGTTCAATTAATGTTGGTGAGATATCGACGGATGATCACAGTTAATTGGATACAACCTAGTAGCTCGACGGAGTATTAGGATATAATTGGAGCAATCATCACTATAATTACAAGAATTAATATTTAGGAGAGTTAGTTAATTATCTAATAGGTGAACCCAAATCCCTAGTCTTCTCTTAATTGGAATTTTTCTTAACTTTAGATTCATAATTATTCTTTTTAATTACATTAATACTATTTGTTTGCACTTTTCATTATCATCAAAATTGATTATTCAAGATAACAGTTAATAGTGTTCTTCGTGGGATCGACCCTGGAATACTCCAGGAATTTATACTGTGATTGACTCTGTGCGCTTACATATTATAACAATCAGAAGCACCTGACCTCGTATGATAGCGGAAGCGTAGCCCGTAGATCTCTAGCCATAGTTGATGTTCCTGTTGTGTTGCCTCTTAACGGTAGACCGTTAGCCATGGTTTGCCTCAGACCTGACTCAGAACCCTAGATGGTGTATTGGTGTCTACTGAGTAGTCTGAGTACCGTAACTGAGTGTGCTAACATCAATCATCCTGTATCCCATCAATCCAGGATTATATTAGGCAGAGTTTGGTTGACTAACAACTACTAGTTATTAAGTCCAACCAGACCACTTAATAAGCCTAGTTAACTTGCACCACTTAATTAAGGCCCTAATATATAATATCAATATATATTATAAGGAAAAAACTTAATTAAGGCCCTAATATATAATATCAATATATATTATAAGGAAAATTATAAGGAAAAATCTTACATTCTCCCACCCTAATATATAATATCAATATATATTATAAGGAAAAATCTTACATTCTCCCACTTGGTGCAAGTACTAGCAAACATAGAGTCAACAACGCTTCTACTGAAGCTCAAACACACAAAGAAATCAAGCACAAAGAGTCAACAACGCCTCTACTGAAGGTCAAACACACTTTCTCAACCTAATGAAGCACAAAGAGTCAACAACGCCTCCACTGAAGCTCGATCTCATAACCTCCCACATGGGAGAGGTCACTACATGCCATCTGAGCATAAGGTGCTTGGCCACGCATTTGATGTTTTAAAATCTTCTTATTTCAATAAAAAAAAAAACCTGACTATTGCCATTCCTAAATTGCTTGAATTATACGTGGGTGTGCTTGGTTGATATGTTCAACTATCATGAATGGTAATCAAAGTCATTGTTATTGTTTGGTTGACAGGTTTATAAAACACTACTATGAGATTTGATTACCCCCTTAATTAGAAAACCTATTACCTAATAAAATAAGGATTTCATTCCATTATTCCCTCACCTAATTGGTAATTTAATTTTTAAGTTTGGATTAATGCTTTTAGATTTTTGTTTTTATTTTTTATTTATATTGGTGCTTTGATGTCTTTATATTATAATAAATTGTCTTAATTTTTGTTTTTGTATTTTTAAACCTTTATTCTCATTATAGGATCATACATAACCAATCAACAATATTGGTAATCATTCCAATTCCACCCTAATACCAAACATGCAAAATACTTTTACCAAAACCTATTACCATTATCAAGTATTTGATTCATATTCTGATTACGATTCCCATTTGTGAACCAAACACACCTTTAGGAGATAAATATTTGAAGGGAAATGAAATTGAAATTCCATGGCAAATAAATTCCAGGAAAATTGATTCAATTGTTTGGTTGGTGGAAATGAAATTACTAGGAATATGTATTCTATTGTTTGGTTGGGTTTAGAAAGATAAGGAATAATGAATATAAAGACCAACGTACCCTTAAAAAGATGAATGAATAAATAGCTGCCTATGTAATTAAGAAACTTTTACAAGAATAAAATGGTACACTTATGTTATTTTTCTTCCCAATCTTTGTTAAAAACAAAATTCCACCTATTTGTAAAAGAATTCATTTTCCTCAAATTTAAAAAATTCATTTTCCAATAAAAAATATTTTCCATCCAACCAAACAACATAAATTAACATTTTTCATGAAAAATATTTTCCGTCCAACCAAACACCCCTTAGTTCCATTATGCGTCAGCCCGCACTCCAAAAGAAAAAA